ATCACTTTACTCAGAAGTCAAATTCCTTCACCTTTCGCCCTTAAACGGATCATCTGGATGGCCTTTTAAGCTGAAAAAGCAAAAGCTCGTTACCCAACAGCAAGACGCGTCGATGTAATGAAATGAAAGAACACTACGGAACCCTAGACAACTTTTTCAGATGTAATTACTACCACTCTTAAGATCAAGATCCCGGAAAACAGATGGGAAAAAGAAGCCAAGGCACGTTACCAGCACCTTTCGTCAAAACCAAAGTGAATGAAAGAAATTGGGAAATACGGCAAAAAACTTACAAAGACCATAAGCATACTCGATAATTCTTCTTCAAATCATTGAGCTCCTTCATTTCATCAGCACTTAACTCAAAATCAAATACCTGAAAAGCATGAAGTCATTATACTGCAAAATTGTAAAGCTAACAATTTGAACAAGTGGCAAAAGTTAGAACAAAACTGTCACTATAAATTACATTCCAATTTTCCTCAATACGTTTGCTATTAACGCTCTTGGGTATCGGCGAAAAACCGCGCTGTAGAAGATAACGAATAAGGATTTGGGCTGGAGTCTTGTGGTACTTGTCTGCGAGCTTTTTCGCCAAAGCATCTTCAAGAGGGCTTGGCGTTTGTGTCCATTCAAGCTCACTAAAAAATAGTTTGACAACAGGCATTAGGATACAAGACAAAAAGACAGAAATTATTATATTACCAAAACTCACGTTACGCTAAATCGTCCTGGAGATCCAAGTGGTGAGTAGGCGGTCAAGGTAATGTTATGTTTTTTGCAGAATTCAGCCAATTCAAACTGTGGAAAATAAAGAGAGCATTCAACCTAAAAAGCATATGCTTAGTGAGAAAGTACTGAGGTTCACTAAGTTAAGACTTGTACAATCAAATTTAAGAAAATCAAGCCAATTGATACCGCCACTAACTTGAAGATTATGAATTCCAACTGTAGCAATCTTTAGAATACGTTCCATCTGTGAAACGGTAAAATTTGACACTCCAATCGCTCTCGCATATCCCTTTTTATACACATTTTCAAAATTCTGAAAAGTGTAAAACAAAGCAGCATTATTTGGACATCTGAATTAAAACTTCAAAGTCAATCAAAACTTAGGGAACATTATTTACTGCAGAGGCTGCAACATGTACACTTGCTTTGTTTTGATTTAGGTAAAAGCAAGCAAATTTGTAACCAGTATCAACACACTCGAACAGTCAAGACAAAAATATGAAGATAGGTAATAGGAAAATACAAGAAGATGATCACCTGCCAAATTTTTTCAACACTCATCGGTTGCTCCGGGTGTGTGTTGTCTTCCTATAAGAAATTTTTCGTAATATTAACCGGTCGGTCAAGATGTTTAGAAGTGTCGAAAAAACTATTTGTTTATATTCTACAGAAATTGATGTGGAACATACTTTTAACTCAGCAGGCGCATGAAGAAGGTAAAGGTCCACATAGTCAAGCTTAAGTTTCTTTAAAGAGTTTTGGATTGCTGCGTTCATCTGCTCTGTTTGGAAGTGGGTACAAAAACACTAAAATTAAGAAAAATTCACGAAGTTATTGCAGAACATGGAAATAGAGAGTTGAATTGTAGGAATAATCAACTGTGGAAAGCAAATCTTTCTATTCCGTCTGCGACAAGTTCTCGGGGAAAATCCTGAGAGAGTCCCGCACCGAAGGAAATGAGGTATGGTGTTCCAAGGAAGAGGGAATAAAGAAGTTTCATAAAGTAAATCTTTTTAAATTGTACATCTCAGTTTATTCTAAAAGAGCAACAAAACTGTAAAAGCAAACTTTTTTGTTAATCCTTCTGAGTACTATGGAGTATAACTAACTGAATATATGTGAACTAAATGGCAAACTGTTTCGCTAAAAAACTCATAAATAAATTCTTCTACAACTACTTTTAAACTGCTACCTTGCGTATAATATTTAAATTCTGCGAATAAAAGCTGTTGTTCTACCTTGGAAAATTTAAGCCAACCTCCTATTTTTTTGCAGGCAATAGAGCCAAGAGGCCCATATCTGTCGCAATTAAAGCTACAAGAATTTTTTGTTGGACAACTCCATTTGTAAATTCACAAGCTTACTAGTGAAGCTAAACGATCAAAATAATACAGTACACACAAAAATTCTCATTTATAAAGCACTTCAAGCGGCGAATATTTAGTCAAGCAGAAGTATTACAAACTTTTTGCAGTTTAAAAAAAGTCCATCTTCTCACAGACTAAACAGTGGTTGACACCAAAACATAATGCTCACTTTTGTGGTTATGAATACATCAGAACGCTTCAGTTTGCCGGATTCAAAGTATTCCTGGAGAGCATCACCAATTTCACTTTCATTTCCGTAGGCTTCTGCTGTATCAATTAGACGGTACCCACAGTCCAACGCATGCTTGACAGCATTAGCAACCTCATTTGGCTTTGACTGAAATAAAAGTTATTTCTGGCTTTCAAACTCTTACGTCTAAAATCAACCGTCCCGTTCCAAAAAAGGACTAGAATCAACATACCAGCCAAGTACCAAGGCCAAGAGCCGGCATTTCATCACCTGTGGCTAATTTCAGAGTTGGTCCTCGAACTACCATCCTTTAGCTCGCTTCAGTGAATCTCCAATATGCCTTCGAAAAAAGTTTATAATTCACCAAGAAGTGCGAATAAATTGACAACGATAAGGCAACTGTCTGTACTATTAACAGAAATGAAGGTGTCACACAGATAATGAACGCAGCCTCGTAGCGATGAGGAGGGACAAAAGCTGCTGCAGTTTAGCGTACTGTGTAAAAACTGACTTTCTTGGGTTTATAATCTACACCTCTTCACTCTTTGTGTAGCATTTTTTTCATCCAAGTTTTGTTCATTTCTCTTAACTTCAAACTTAGCCATTCATTACCTAATTTCTTCTTGAGTATCTAACGTTCAACTGAGATTCTAACATACGTAGATTTGGTGAAATACCCAGCTTTAAATATGTGATTTACTCGAAGCGCGACAAATTTCGCAACAATAAATTTTCTGAATTCGCCTCCAATAAAGTTTGTTTGGTACCGTTTCAATGGCTTTTTATCTTTGACTGAAGGAAAACTTCATTTATAATCACCTAATGGTCTGCACTGAACCTCTTCTGAATTCCATCCGCCAACAATTATGACAGATCTACTTTGAGCACATTTTTCAACATCCTTTTTAGTTAAACTTTTTAAGGCACTCTTTGTGCTGAAAGAGACAAATATGAAAATTGGTTCACTTGCACGCTATTAACTCAGCACAACATAAACCCAAATACGGCTTAACTCAAAGGCCAGCAAACGCAAATTACTTCCTCACCTAATACCCCACATATCGTCTAAAACTTGACGCAGCAGAAGTCTGCACGGATAACGGAGCAGAACGCACATATGCATTATAAAAAACAGAGAAGTGAGGAAGAAACAACGAAAAATCACAGCTGCTGGACGAAATCCAATCCAAAAACTTGGGTGCAAAAAAAAAATAAAGTTCAAGATATTGCCAAATTACTGAGAGTAGACGTGCTAGACTGCAGTACCGCCAAGAGGCTGAACAGCTATTTATACTGCAGATTTCAGAAATGTGAAACTCCTAAACACGTGAAAATCAACAGGACGGTGAAGCTATAAGAAATTTTTTAATATGAAGTATAAAAAACGACCGCTTTAATAAGGTGCATAAAAGGTTCATTCAGCTAGAATGACCAGTTACGGCCTGCGCAAGACCTTATTCTGATATCATCCCCTATTCTGTCCCGCTAACAACAACAGTTGAATATTAGGAGTGGTATAACCAACGGGAGAGAAAGGGAAAAGTTTTTCACTTTCTTCTCTCTACTCCTCCCACTACTTCCATATGGCCATGAACCTAAACAATCAAAAGATCGAGAAGTGACTAACCGTTTGCTAACATTTTCATGTGTGAACTGTTATACACCTGTTTTGGAATTGTTACTGCTTCCCATAAAAAATTTAGTAGCAATGTTCCCCCAAATCAGAAAACCGAAGCTAAGCTCTTGCTCTCAAACAATCAGATAAGAGAGCTGGCGTCTATTGCAGTAGAGTGCAACTAAAACAGGAACGTGAGGCGAAAGCAAAGGTTTTAGGAAACATATTTAAAACAACTAAGTGGTAAAAGAATAAAAAGTTAGCAGAAATTTAATGTTCTTCAAAAATTATATAACTACTGACCTGAAATTGTCGGCTTCTCGACTACCAAATCTATCTACTCTTCCCAAAAATTCTGAACGAGAACAGTCGCAGGCAACGAAGTAAGCAAAACATATTCTGCATTTAAAAACTGTAGTTTCGTTTGCTACCGTTCTGCTCTCCCGAGAGCTAACAAAAATTAGCTCATCAATTCATTTTGATTCCTTCAACTGAATTTCAAAAAATACTGGAAAAAAATCTTTGCTTAACTGCTCCTGGCTTTCTAAACAAAGAAAAAAAATGTTTATTTTTTAAGACCTTTATTTTCCACCCAGTAACGTCTTATCAGAGCCCTCGGATTGACTGTTTCTGGGCACCCTTTACGTCGCGTTACGAACAATAAAGATGTTATGGCCGGAAGAATAGACAAAAGCCACCAAAAATTCTGCAAAAAAATTTCAGATTTGTTGCTACTACTTTCTTGGATTCTCAGTTGAATTAAGCCTATCTTTTACCAGTTGTCATGATTTCTTCGCCAAAAAGAAGTGGATTTTTGTCTACCACTACCTTTTAATGTACCCCTTCCTCAGCAGGATCATCATTATGTACACGTTGAACACTTTGCATTTTGTGTTACTTCACTTCCAAATCATCGTATACCAGAAGCAAATTTTAGAGGTCATAAAAATTTTATCATAGTCGTCTTTACTTATCAATGACTCTTTTTTAAAACTTTATCGCAAAAACTTTGAAAAAATTTTATTTGTTTCACCTATCTGGGCAAAGTTCACTAAATAACAACAGTAAAAACTTCTGTAAGGTGCAGTTTTATGAATTTGCTTCAGCAGACAAGGTGAATAATAAAAGCTACAAGGAAAAACTTCTTTCTAAACATCTCAAAATTCATGATTGCTTCTGATTCCCAACTTGAAACAATAATCAGTAAAAGTAGAACGCAACTGCTAACGACAATTCAACAAAAACACCAAAAGTTTTAGCAAAAAAAAAAAAAGTGGAATTTACCAAACGTATCCAAGTATGCTGCATGACAGTGAATGTCTATAATACGCAGAACATGGTGAACAGGAACGGTCTTGGCCAAGTGAACCCATATGAATAATGGAGTCTGTTTAGTTTGTAGTTTGTTCAATTTCTGCTTATTGTGCAGTCTATTAGATGGTTGCAGAATACAAATATAAACCTCAATAATTGGCAACAGTTTCTCGTTTAATCGGTTTTTCGTTTTTATTATTTATGGTACTAAAAGTGCTGAGCATCTCAATATAAATCACTTACTCAAGAACAGCGTCCTCAAGTGAGACTAATCATCTTTCTTATTTGCAAAAAACTTTTTTTTTTTATTTTTTATTTTTTATTTTTTTATTTTTTTATTTTTTTTTTTTGCTTATCAATTTCGCACTTTCAAGTGAAGTTCAAACGCAAAATTTCAAAACTCTGCACTGCAGTGGTATTTTTCGGCTCCTTAACAGAATTAACCAAGAATTTTGTTTTAAAAGTGAATTTTTCCCGCAGCTATGATGGTAAGGGTAAAAACCTTTTTGTTTTTGAGTAATTAACTTGCATCGCAGAAGTTGGCCCAAATGCATACGTGTAACAAGACTTGACCTTTAGCATGTTCTTCCTTAATCTAGGCAGTTAGTCTAGTACAACAGAAAGATGTAGTCGCAATTTGCTCTTGTCATAGACAAATTTGTTTAAAAAAATTATAAAGTTCTGGTGACACTCCGAAGCTGTAGCATCTATCACTGTACTTGGTGACAGCTCCTCAAAAAAAGAATGACTTTTTTTTACGGTGACAAGCAAGGAAGGGAAGCAAGACTTGCAGTAATCAAATGATTGTAAAATCTGGCTTCAGCATTAGTACTTTTAGAATGGCAGAGACCGAGTATCGGAGGTGTAAGGATAGTATTCTTCAACTAGGGAGTGTTAGTTAAGCATAGTAATAAAAAACCTGAGTAAAGCTGTCAAACCGGGCACGGTAGTGAAGCCAAAACTAACAAATGATTTTACCACTGCAGGCGATATCTTAAAACGAGTGTAGAAGTCAACATTCATCTAACTTCACCCTTTTCTTTTATGCAACTTAAACTGATCTGTAAGTATAGTTTAAAATTTCATCTGTTAAACTGCCGTAATTTACCGCACAATTGAAGTGCAGTGATAAATTAGTTTTGTAAGCTCTTTTTAAGAAGAGTTGCTCTTAAAGAAAAACCTCTTCAGAAAATTTATTTGAATCCGATTAGCTTTTTCAACGCATACACTGCTTCTAAAATTTTCTGTTCATGATAAAAGACAGACTGTTTTAGGGTTTATTTTCAAAAAAATAACGTATGCGGTACTATAAGGTTTAATTATTAAAATCGTTAAAGAATTTGGAAATCTCAACTTGCGATAATTTTCAACCTAAAAAGTTATCTATATCAGGTGACTTCAGTTTTTTAAGGCTTTATTTTTTGAGTTTTTAACAAAGTCAGAAGCAAACAAACTCTAAAGTAATGTAAAATGATTTTAAAAAATGAAGCATCTTGAACCAAACAAATGAGGCTTTATTGATTTCACTCTACAAAAGATGATGAATTTTTTAACGTATTGCCATGGCCAATTCTGTTTTTTGAACTAATAGACGAAAATGTGTTTGATCTATTTGTGCCAAACGAACATTATAGTCCAGTAATGAATAAAAAGCTTTCAGCTTGTAATGCGTTGAAGGTTGATTACTAGTTTAAAGTCTTCCTTGATATGACTCACCTTAGTCTGTTAAAATCTAATTTTGCAAAGCAGAGAGTGACAAGGCTGCAGTTTTTAAGCTTTCGTACCGGTAAAGTTGTGAAAAAAAGCACTTAATTAGATCACTCAAAAGAGGAGCGCAACAAGTTAAAAAAAAATAATGATTAGAACGGTCGCCGTTTACCAAACATACCTTAAAATTCACTATTTTTAATCATAAAATTACTCAATTTTTTTGATAACATCATTTCCTTCATGCACTTCTTTTCACTGCTCTGCCTATAATTATCATAATTTCAGTTTTGTTTATTCACCTCTCTCTCGTTTTCCAAAAATCTGCGTTAAATCCCGGTTCCAACTTTTGCACAGCGGTTTTATAACACCAAATTCGTGATGCTGATGCTCTGACGTGCTTTACAACCATGATCTTGAGAACTCAGTAGATTTAAACTCTTTCTCACTAGGCAAAATATCGCTGATTCGCAATCGTCTCTCAGTTGGTTCGTGAATACTAAGGTAATCACAATCTTTTAACCAATAGCGCTTCCCAATGTGCCAAAAATAGTAGAGTGATTAATGATTTTATCAGCAAAGCAGTTTCAAAGCACATACTGCTTTCAGAATGCATTCAAAAGTTTTGTAACACTCTGCTAAGCAAGTCTTGACTATCTGAAAAATAAAATAATAAACTGTCGGTAAAAAACTGAACTTTGTGTACCTCAAACTGCTGCTGAATAGTGACAGAAGAAAACTAACAGAATACAGCACGACTAAGCGCCAATAGACAGTTGAGTCATAAATCACAAAATTATGCTAATTAACGTTTGGATGCTAAGCTTAATAAAAAAGCTCTTCACCAGGGAAAAAGATATTAGATAAATAAAGTAAGAAGCAAATTGGATGTGTAAAATAAATTCGGATTTAGGAACCTTTTTTTGATTTGGCTTGTGTTGTGAGGTTATCAAGCTTTCTTGTTAAGTGTTGAAGGTTTGCCTCAAATACCAGTAATTATTACTATATATTACTGTTCTTCCATCAAGTTAAGATTTTGATAGTTCTTGTACTTTATAATTTCATAACGATCTGTATTCACGTCTATAATTATATTCGAGCACAAAAGATCCTCTTCACCATATAATCATGCCTTTGCCTACAGTTGCCGCTACTTTAAGTCTAAGAATCTCTTTTTTGAAAACTGCCTTTAAGATTTTTGCAATCAATTTTTTTAGGATAAAATTAATGCTTTTAGTGTCGTAGTTGGAGTACGCGACCGAGTACGAAAATTGAGTAGTTTGGGGCACACTCAGAAGAATATTACAACATTGCAAAATTCTTTAAGATTTGGATTTTTCGTAGGATAGAAAGACAATAAACAGAGATTTTTAAAATTATGACTTGATGGTATTTGAAAACTTCTCTGCCTCGTTTTCACCATCTTTATAGCTATAATGAGGTTGCTGTGAACTAATAATGCTGTGCATGATCTGCTTTGAAAGATT